CGCCACCCCGGTCCCCAACCCCACCCCGCCCCGCAGCTCCCCACCCTGCTCCGCGCGCCCCCAGGTGCGGCGGCACCTGCACCCACCGTGCCTGAGCACTCTTGGTACCCTCAGAGCTGGCCGCGATCGAACCCACGGCCACCCGACCTCTGGCCAGCCCTGACCGCAGCTAGGCCATCTCCTGGTTGCCCAGGAGGGGCGGACAGGATGGCCGCAGATCTCTCCGGGCCTCGAGATCCACGTCCCCGGGGAGCCGCTGGGAGCAGTGGAGAGATCTAAGACCCAGCTCTGGTCCCAAGCGGCTCCGGGAGAAGGGAACAAGTCTCCGGTGAAGTGGGGCACAGAGGTTCTGCCCCGGCGCCCCGGTTCACCCCGCAGCCTGGACGGAAGGCAGTATGTTTCTACCGCCCACCTGTCACTGGTAACCCCAAAGACTACTACTATTACTACTAACAATAGTAATAGAGACCAACACCCATCGCGCCTTCTTTAATCCTCACAGGCAGGCAGGTGCCTTACTGTCACCTGATGCAGATGAAGGAACAGAGGCACAGAGAAGACAGGTAATTCGCCCAAGATTTCCCAATGGGCAATCAGCATGTCCAGGATTGAAACCACATGTTTTGGAGTCCAGCTTTCCTGGCTGTTTCTCCACACTGCCCCAGCTGCCCTTGCCCTGCTCAGCACCTGCACATTCTGCCCCGCCTCCCCCACCTTCACCCACCAGGGCCTCCTCCCCATCCTCTCTGATCTGAAGACGGGGCCAGGCTCTCCTCGGCTTCCCCTCCACTGTCACTTCGCCGGAATGGACAATCATTTTAAAATACAACCATGATCTTGCTGTGGCTCCATAGTGCCCTCAACATAAACCCCATGACCCTTGAGGCCCTGGATGCCCGGGTCCCAATCACGTTCCCTCCCCGCACAAACTCCGGCCAAATAATACCCCCCCACCCCATGCAGGAGCCTCTCAATCCCCTCTGGACTGTTACCCATGCTGCTCCATCAGGAACTCCGCTTAGGAGTCCCCTCTTCCAGGAAGCCTCCCAGGGAAGACTGAAACTACAGAGGCCTTGCAGACCAACATTCCCAAGGCAGAGGAGAGCTGGGTGAGGGAGTGCCAACAGTCAGGGTTTGGGGCCTATCAAGGCCCAGACTGCCCTCCCTTCCCAAGCAAGTGAGAAGGCAGATCCTGTCTCCAGACCAGTGTGGGCACCTCATGGATGGGTAGAAGTGAGCCCAGCCAACCTTGTCCTGTCTGCACCCTGAGTGAGGGCCCAAAGGGCAGACCTGAGTAGCCCTCTCACACTTGCTTCAGGCCCTGCAGATGGGGAGGAAGCAAGGAGAGCTGGTTTAGGGCCCACCTGAGACGGGGGAGGGGGGCACTGGCACTGGGGGTCACGGGCAGGTGCTCTGGGACAAAATGGGCAGGTGGGCGGAGGGGGTCTCGGCTGGCTCAAAGGCTGCCACAGACTTCAGAAACAGGTTTGTGAGGAGACACAACTGGAGCGTGAAAACCTCCAACAGGTGTGTAGGCCACCAAAGGCAGGTGTGTGAAAAGGTGGCTCTGAAGTGGGGGGAGGTCAGAAACAAGGAAGTGGGCTGAATGAGAGGCAATCCAGTGCAGTGTGGGGGATAAGATGAATAGTGGGGAGGAGGCATGGGCCCAGGAGCGGCCCCAGGCGGGGCGAGGGGGGGGCGGGAGAGGAGGCATGGCCCACCCAGTGCGTACTGGGTAGGGAGGGTCCCAGAGAGCTACTCTGGGGCGTCCAGTGCTGCTGGCCCACTTCCCTGTTCCGGGACACGCTGCTCCCTGATGGAGGCACTGAATGAGGTGGCCCCCACCAAAGGGCACCCAGTTCCCCTCCCCGGCCTCGCCACTTCCCAGCCCGCAGGCCCATCTTTTTGGGGTTCCCCAGGTGGGAGCCAGGCCTGCCTGAATGTCCAGCCCAGGCCACTTCCTCCAGGAAGCCCTCCCACTGGGCCAGCTCCCACTGCTCCTTCATGACAACTGACCTGAAATACCAAACTGGTTCAAATCCTGCCCCTTTAACAGAGACTTAACACAATTGGCTAACCTCTCTGTCTCAGTCGCCCCCATCCACAATCCGACCCACAGAATTATCATGGAGATTACAAGAGTTTCTGTCTCCTACCTGCCTGGCACAGGTGAGCCCCCCAAAATATGTTGCTCTTCATATTATCCTTCAACCATGACAGGCTGCTCCCTGGCTCTGTGCCAGGTTCTGTCAGAGGGGCTAGAGATGTGGGGTTTTGCCAGGAGGACAAGGCCCCCATCCCTACTAAGAGATGGCATCTTCATAGCAGGTATAATGACTGAGAAATGCTTCAGGTGGTGGAAAGTGCTTGGCAGGGAATTTAAACCTGCTGATGTACAGGCTTCTGCCTCTGCTCCAGATGAAGTAACAGGGACCAGATTCACATGTTCTCGCCTGAAACAGGGAAGAAAAAAAGGCAGAGAGAAATATATGTGAAAAACAGCACCCAAAACACAGAACATTACAGAGCAAGGGCAGTGATCCTTGAGATGGGGAACAAACGAGAGAGACTACAACCGTCCCTGCTCCCTGCCTGGAGAGAATTTCCAGGGTTAGTGTAGGCAGTTGGGACCCAGGCAGTGCCCAGAGGTCTTCCTCAGCTGAGGGGATGGAGCGGGGAGTCCCAGGAGGGCAAGTGGCCAGAGTCCGCAGGGCAGAATCCTGGAGAGGAAATAGCTGTGCAGAGAGGAATCCCAGGGATCTACAGAGGTTTCAGCTGACTGCAGGCTGCCACACCCAACTTGGGGGAAGAGCCACGCAGAAGGGTGAGCCCACAAACAGTGGGAATAGCACCCGTTTCTGACAGCCAGCATTGAGAACCTCCTAAGTTGAGGGGCATCAGTTAGAGTAGAAAGAAGAGTTTTGCCTCAGTAGCAAGGAAAAATCAACCTTAGGCTACATGTAGTTCTGGTCCAGTCCAACAAAGCTTAAAAACAAGACCCAAAAGGATTATACAAGTTCCAAGTAACTTAACTACATCCCAGAAAGAAATATAAGGATATTTACAGAAATATAAAACTATCCAACACCCAAAAATGTAGAATACACAATGTTTGACATACAACAAAAAATCATTAGGCATGAAAAGAGGCAAGAAATTAAAACCCATAATGTGGGGGGAAATCAATCAAAATTAACTCAGATGTGACAAAGGTGAGACTTAGTAGGCACACTTACTGAGACTATACTCCATATGTTCAAGATGCTAGAGGAAAGACTGCATATGTTAAGTAGAGACATGGAAGATTTTTTAAAGCCTCAAACTGAACTAGAAATGAAAATTAAAACATCTGAGATAAATAATACGTTGAATGGGATTGATAGAATATTGTGCAAGAAAAAATTGCGAACTTGAAGTCATAGCAATAAAGACTATCCAAATGAAACACAGAGACAAAAAATGACTGAAAAGAGAAATGAACAGTGTCAGTGAGCCATTGGGCAACTCCACATGGTGAATTACAGGTGGAGTTGGAGTTGCCAGAGGATAGGAAGTGGTGGTGAGAAAGAAAAAGTATCTTAAGAAAATGGCCAGAAATTTTACAAATGTAATGAAAAACATAAACCCACAGTTCCCAAAAGCTCAACAAAACTTAAGCACAAGAAGCATGAAGAAAACTACACTGAAGCATGTACATCATTCTCAAAATGCTGAAGAACAGTTATAAAGATAATAGCTTAAAAGTATCCAGGGGATGGGGCATCTGGGTGGCTCAGTGGGTTAAGTGTCCAACTCTTAGTTTCAGCTTGGGTCATGATCTCAGGGCTGTGGGATTGAGCCCCATGTTGGGCTCTGTGCTCAGTGGGGAGTCTGCTTGGGATTCTCTCTCCCTCTGCCCCTCCCCCCATGCTCTCTCTCTTTCTCTCTCAAATACGTAAGTCTTTCTTAAAACAAAATGTAGGGCACCTGGGTGGCTCAGTTGGTTAAGTGCCTGGTTCTGGAATCGAGTCTCGTGTTGTGCTCCCCGCTCAGCGGGGAGTCTGCTTCTCCCTCTGCCTCTATCTGCCGTTCTGCCTACTTGTGCACTATCTCTCTGT